TCTCAACTATGGAGTCTGCAGAAAGCTCAGAGAACAATTATTAGGGGAAGCACAAAGGACTCAGAACTTCTTGAGAAACTTAGCATGAATCCTTTTAGACTAGGAGGTCTAGAAGTCAAGAGAAATTCCACTAGCCTGCTGTGATCTGTAGCACATTTTTCTTCCTGAAGTGGTCATCTTGACCTTTGTGCATGCAGCTCATCTTCCTGCCTTGAGAGTGTATGAAAGAGTTTACAAAATAGCCACCTACTTTCTTTCAATTAGGTTGAATACACAGGAGTTGCACAGATCTGTTGGAATCTTGCTGAGAAGGCTAAATTTCTGTGAGCATATCCAACCCTGGAACCGAGGGGTGGAGAAAAGGAATCAATGCTTCTTCCTTCCTCATCTACAAATAAATAGATAAATAGGCTTCTGCTATGAAAGCAGGTGGAATGGGGTGGAGTGGGCGGGGGGAGAAGAAAGAAGCATCAACAGAGAAATAATAATAATTCTCAAATGAACTTAAACTGCTGAAAATTAATGAGGGAAACAAAAAAGCTTTTATGGTTTATTTTGGAAGTGTTGGGCCCTCCCCTGGAATCAGCTAGTCTGTTGACAGCAGAGAAGAGAGAATAGAGGTATGTGGATCTTCTCTTGCTCTGTCTCCTCTTTCAAGGAAACTCGTGGTAAAACGCAGGAGAATAGAACATCATGGTTAAGAGTGACTTGTTCCTCATTTGGGGGTGGTGGACATAAGACAATACCTAGTTAATTTAAATGGGTTGTCCAGTTTCCTTGATTCTAGACATTATAATACTTCTTTACATCAGGATACATCTCATAATCTTTTTCTCAAATATATATATTTGATATGGTAAAGTATTTTCCCCTGAAAATCTGTTATTAATAACTAGTTCATTAATTTCTTGATCATGTCTTAGGGAAATAAGATATGTCTCTTCAGGGGAGTTATATCCCAGATCACTGAAGACATTTGTCAGTTAAATTGTTGAACTGAAAAACGAAAGATGCTAAATGACTGGAAGTTGTGCAGATAGTAAAACTTGAAATCAGCAAACGTGGTTTGTTTTTCAAAAAGGATAAGAAGGTGGGTTTCATAGATGATAAATGAAGTTGATATTGATCCTTGGCAATACTCTAGAACAGGGGTCAGCAAATTTTTTCTGTAAAGGACCAGATAGTAAATATTTTTGGCTTTGTGGGCCATATAGTCTGTCACGACTGCTCAATTCTACCATTATAGCATGAAAGCAGCCATAGATATTACGTAAACAAATGCAGATAGTGTGTTCCAGTAACACTTCCTTTATAAAAGTAGTCAGGAGGCCAGATTTGCCCTCAGGCAGTAGTTTGCCCACCTCTGTTCAAGAATAAATTGTTAAATGGGTGTTTTTGTGAATAGGGAACCGCTGAGAACTGTGTTCTTTGAGAGTAGGTCTGGTTTGGGCAGTTCCCCATGGTTTCCAGCAGGGTTACTGTTACATGAGATCAAAAGTATGGTTTATTTTTACTTCATTGAGGTATTTGGCAGAATGTTTCAAAAGAAGATGGAAAAAATGTGGACCACTGGAATTAGTTAGTTAACCATTTGGTGCCTACTATCTTTTAACTGGTAAGAAGCACTGGCAGATGACAATAAAAGCAAGCAGCAAATGAATGTTAAGAGAAACACTTAATAGTATGATTTCTTAAAAATCTTTTATATGTTAGCCTTTGAGATAAAAAGACCTGCAAACATAATATAGCCATATATTATTACCCCAATTTGATGAAATTCCATGTATCAAAATCATACTGGGTTTCTCAGAGAGCAACAAAATTTCCTGCTACTCTGTTACTGAAAGGTTTAAGAACCACAGGCAGTGACCTGCTCTTTCCTTGGCCCTGAAATGTTATGCATTTTTAATCAATAAATTTAATCATATAATGGCAAATTAAATTTTTGATGACTCAAACCTCATCTTCATACCAAGTTCCTAATAACTGCAAGCATACAATTATAACATTCATAAATTAAAGACTATTTCTCCTGTGCTCAGTATTTAAAGCTTTATATCAGATAACACAGCATAAAGTAAGCCCTTCATGTTCAGCAGCTTTTAAGCAATATCAACATTTTGAACCTAACTAACAATTTCTTAAGTTTGCACTAGACCAAAAATTCCTCAAACCAAAAGTTTGTCAGAAAGTCCATATACATTTCCTTCTTAAGACTCAGACATATCTGATGTTATAATACTTATTCCCATTTCCCAGAAGACGCCAATGCTATTCTAGAATGTAATGGAAAAAAGAATAAAAAGAATGGGGGAAAAAAATCAGTCTGTGACTAGTGGGTCAAAGAGGACATGGGGACAGCAGAAGCAGGTATAATTGGATGAAAGTATATCAGCTGGTACTCAGTATTGCAAGGGACAGAAAGCCCAGCTCAATCTGGCCTAAAAGGGCAAGACAGAGAGAAAGGGGGAGAGGAGGAGAGAGGGAGAGAGTCTTAGCTAATTATTGGCTTCTGTAGCTGAAAAGTCTAGAAATCTGTCCAGTTCCCAGTGTCGCAAACATTGTCACCAAGTTCAAGTACCTGGTTTCTCTGCTCTGACTTCCATGGTTTTGGCCTCACTCTCACCTTCAGCAGTTCCTCCCATTATGTTAGCAAAACAGCTGTGGCCATTCATACCCTCATACCTTCCAGGAGCACCTATGGGAGAGAAAGGAAGTTCCCTTTTTCCAGAATCCTCAGGGAACATCTCTTTTAGTTTCATTGGCTCTGATTAGTTTATGTAACAATCCCTATACTAATTGTTGTGGCTAGTTGGGTAGAGTATACTAATTGGCTTACTTCAATTAAGGCTCACCCCCAGAGCTGGAGGTATTGTCAGAACCCCTCAGACTAATGAGGAAGGGCTGTTTTTTCAAAGGAGATTTGGTCCTGCTCCCAGGGAGGGGACGGTATAAAATACTGGGCAACAAACAGCTGTCAAGAGCTGGGAGACATGACAACAGAGAAGAAAGTCACCAAGGAGACGTGGATGTTCCAGATAAAACAGCACAGCAATCTGATGCCTGTACTTAACTATGCAGTTTTTAAGGCATCACTGAAAGAGTTGATATTCACAGTGATCAACCTGAGACATGTAGGGAAGGATAAATTATGTTTGACATACTAAGACAGGGAAGAAGTAATGGATGTTAGAAAGGTTTGTGTGTGTTTTAATAAAGAACAGTGTTTTTAAAAGAGCAAAACTAAGCCATCTGGAAAGCTCTTTTTACCATATCAGGTATTTTGTTTACATGTCTCATATTTCCTTGTGTTCAGTCTCAATCTGTAACTCTAAAGCCATGCGTTTGACTGTGAAATATTTCTTAAAGCTGTGCTTTAACTATGCTTGGTTTATATCTTAACAAAGTAAGTTTCAGTTTATTGATTAAAAACATTGTTTCTGCTTTCCCAGAATGCAGAAAGTTTCAGTTTATTGATTAAAAACATTGTTTCTGCTTTCCCAGAATGCATACACAGCC